TCCATATAAGGAAGAACTTTCTACAATTTAGGCTGATCTAGATATTGAACTTAGGATAAAATCAGGAGGGGCAAGAAAAGGCTTTAGAGTATGGTGATTTCTACTCTTTGCCTGGTGAGAGGTACTTTAGTATTTTGTTTTATTATTGTTCTTCAACTGATAAGCATATTTTCATAAACTCTTTAGTAGATGTGATATATTTTACAATGAAAATAGCGAGGCTGACTAGATGTTAGGCAAAGCAGTGTCACGGTGAGAGCTCAAGGAGAGACCAGTGGAACTTGGATGATCTGTGACAATCATTCCATCGCTAAGATTTTACAAGTCCAAAAATAGATGGGGGGGGGGCCTCCCTGGTGGCACAGCGGTTGAGCACTGGGTTGCAAAACTGCCCGCAGCCTCTGCAGTGCCAGTTCGATCCCCAGCCACCAGGTGAGGGTCCCACATGGCACGCAGAACTCTCCTGCCGCCCACTGCTCCCCTCAGCAGTGTACTTCGGTCCTTCTGCCTGTTCTGCTCCCCGCTCTGGCTCTGGTGAATTCTCTCACCCTCCTGCGCTTCTGACTGTACCCAGTGCTTGTATAAATAAATAAATAAATCTTTAAAAAAGATGGGGGATGATTAAAGGAAAGCCTTTGTAAAATGTTCGCAAGCTGATTGCCTTTGAATTAATTGGATTCAAGGCTTCGCTTCATTGTTCACTACAGCCATTACTGGTATTTGTTACACTATGATCCCCACATCTCTGTTACAATGAGTATTACTTTTATTGGCCATTATATAATGAGAATTACATAGACCCAGTCTCTGCCCTCACAGGATGACAAATGATGCTGACAGTCATAGAGGGAATGCAGAGAGAGTCTGATCTGAATGTTGAATAGAGAAGACAGCAAAATTGTCTATGTGGCCAACAAGTCAAGTTTCAGGTGTTATGAAAGTGGGCCTTAGGAAACACATCCTAAATAGGTAAGACAGGGAGAAACTAGCCCTCTGGGTCAATTAACTCCAGCAGGCTTCCTGGAAGAAGTAAGCCCTCGGAAATAGGAAAATTCAAATCAAACATTTAGTTAGGGGAACCTTTCCCTAGACTGGGGGTGGGGGCGGTCAGTGGGCCAGAAAATAACTTCAGTTGCCATTTCCTCCTGTTAATCCTGTTCTCTCATTCCGTTTCTTCGTGATCTCCTGTTCGCTGTACTGATTTCAGATGGGGGAACCAAGACTGAAAAAAGGGAAATGAGAGGAAGGGGTATTTGTTGACTGTGATGGACGTGGAATTGGGGAGAGTCCTTGAGTCCCCAAGTCACTGTTAAATAAACAGCCAGGCTCTCTGCTCCTTCTGGCTGAGATGTGACTTTGGGCAAACTTACTTCTGCTTTGGACACACTTAACCTTTAATCTGGGGATCCCCACTCATGTTACTGACATTAACTCCTCTATCCTTACAACAACCTTGGGTAGGTGGGAAAAATAAACCAAAACACAAAATTTTATGATGGTACTTGACCCTAATGTGGTAAAATCCAAATAAGAGTAAGTCAAGGTTTATTCTCTTATGACAATTTATCTTCACTTAATTGAAAGGGAAACTGAGTCACAAAGAGTGGAAATAACTCAGTTTCATAGATACTTTTCAACTTTTGACTTCATCAATATAATGTTCTAATGTTAGTACTTTTCTGTCTGGAACTTCTTATCATGGTCGTTATAAAATGATGGGGAGGGCCTCCCTGGTGGGACAAGGGGTTGAGTGATAGCACTGTGGGGCTGCCCATAGACACTGCAGCGCAAGCGTGATCCTTGCCGGGGAACTGGCCCACATGGTGCAATGGACCTCTCCTGTCTTGCCCTCTGCTCCCCTCAGCAGTGTATTTCAGTAGATCTTCCTATTCTGCTCCCACTCTGTCTCTGGTGAGTCCTCTCTCACACACATACACCCACATCTGACCTGTGCCCAGTTCTTGTATGCATAAATAAATTTTTTTAAAGATTTATTTATTTATACAAGAACCAGGTACAGGCCAGATGCGCAGGAGGGTGAGAGGATTCACCAGAGACAGAGCAGGGAACAGAACAGGCAGATTGACAAAAGACACTGCTGAGGGGAGCAGCAGGCACAACAGGAGAGGTCTGCCTGCCATGTGGGACCCCTGCCAGCCAGCCAGGATCCAACCGCGCTGACAATGCTGACACTCTACTGCCTGCATCACCAGGGGAGAACCTGCATAAATAAATCTTGAGAGAGAGAGAGAGAGAGAGAGAGAGAGGGGGGGGGAATGAGGCACAGCGATTGAAATGGATTGCTTCAAGTTAGGCTTCATAATATGGTACCTAGATGAAAAACCCAAGAACCCTAATTCTCAAGGCAAAATTATTTTTCCATCAGATTTCTACCCAAGTTTCAAACCTTAAATCCACTCAAAGTTTGTGAACTTAGATGATAGCAGCTGTAAAGCTTGAGTTCTTAATACCAAGAATGGTGTAGGGGTTGAGTAGAAAGAAGGCTAATCACAATCCTTAACCCTTGAGGATTTCATGGTTTACTAACACCCCAAGCCACTGCTACAGTCCATCCTCATCAAAGACACCAATAGTGTCCTTTTCTGCAGATGAGGAGGCCAGAGCTCAGAGACATCAGCACCGTGTCAGAGTACCCAGCTACTCAGAACTGCAACTGAAACGTGGGTCTCCTAAATCCAAGTTCAGTGAGAACACATTTTGGGGAAAAGAAGCTACCTGCTTCTTACTGGAGATTTAGAGGAGGCCAAGGGAAGAGAGAAGAAGCCCATCTGGGCAGCGCATCAGCCCATATGTTAGCAGAGAAGGAAACTATCATCATTAGGCATTTCAAATGATGACACAGAATGGCTCTGGGCACTTTGGGATCTGCCGACGGGGCTCTAACCTCTGAGGGCCTGCAATCTAAGACAAACACACTAAGAAGAACAAATATGCACGTGACATACAAATGGCATCTACTCCACCAGATTATATCATATACATGGCCAGGTAAATCTGGGATGTGGAGAACCTGAGTACACAAATGAGAATGGGAGCAGTACAGAAGAGCAAACTGGGAAAGAAACACACACAAGCCAGGAAGGGGTTTTTTTTTAAAGAAAAAGAAGTTTTAAGAATTCTTTCTTTTCTGGTTTTTTTTTTTTTTTTCTTAATTCAATCAGCGGTGGATATCTGTTTTGTATTGAGAGTTTGATTTAGAACAGAAACTTATTCTAGGTATATAGGACCATTACAAAGGTTATATATCAATTTAGACATATTAGATATATAAGTGGGAAGGGGGCAGAGGCCAGTGACCATGGACAAAGAGGGTTTTGAGCAAGTGGAAATTCAAGAGCGATTATAACCTCCTAGAGTGTGTCGTAGTGTTTCCACCCCCTGTACTTTCAGAAAATTCATGCTCTCCATATGTCAGGAACAAGAAGCATTTCCCAGTTCTGAAAGCTCATCTGCAGCAGATGAAGAAGGTAGCAGCGTCTTGGTTAAGCACACAGTGGTTGGGGACCGAGGCAAGAAGTCCCTAGCCATCCCAATCTCCCCAGGTTCCACCACCACAGGAGAGTGGCTAGAGCCCAGTGTACAAACCTCATTTATCCAGACCCATTAGTTGTTAGGGAATTTCCAGATCACTTTATCAAACCCAAATTCACCTTCTGAGTTTCAGACCAGTGATTAGATTCTTAGAGTTTGGCTGGCATATACACGTTTCTTACTCTATCAATTTAGACTCAAGCCAGGTAGAGACTTGTTTATCTCTGTTAATTGTGTTTACTCAAGTCATCCTTTGTGACCCTAATTAGTCAAGGAAGCAGCACCAGAGAACTAGGAGGCTGGAGTGAATAAGAATATGCAGAAAGAGTTCCTATATTTCTGAATGCTTTCTGATTCTCTGTGGAACACAGGGTCCTTGGAGGTAAAGTGCTGGCTGGAAACATGGGGATCTGAGCCATGAGCCAAACGTTAGCAATTTCAGAGTCTCAGAAGAAGCTGTTCATTCCTGATCACCTTGGTTTCTGAGTTGACACAATTATTAAGATTTGCATGGGCAGTGTGAGAATTTGAGAATTTTTGTGATGACTTTCACAATAATTATTTTTGCCAACTTGTTCACCTGCTATATTTACAATGTGTCATTCTCTGGTATAACCACTCCACATATATTAACAAAATCCAAAACCAGTAGCCAACTTTTCTAATAACTAATGGTGATGTTTCCATGTTCTTTGTGGCACTTTGGATATACAGGTGTTATTGGAAGGTGGGAAGTCTTTTACTCCCTTATCTCAAATTGTTCAATTCGCCTTCAGCTCCATCTCTCTTGTTCACTTCGCTCTCACTCTATTCTAATTTACTAAACCTTTACTGAGTCCCTCCCTCCCCTTTTTCTGCCTCTAGAATTAAACTATTGATAAGTCTGAGCACGAGACACATGGGGCTGGGGATGGAGATAAAAGTCAACTGCTTGAGATCCTCTCCCAATAATGAGCCTTAAAGAGAACAAAAATGCTTTGGACAAGATACTTGTAACTGCTTCAACGGGAACAAAAGGCAGACGTGAAAGAAGATGTATGTGAATGGCAGGGAGAAGACTTGCAAGCTGCTGATCCAGACAAATAAAGACCACAAGCAGGGAGCCGCGCGCCTCCGCATTAGGCTGCAGAGCGCGCTTCGTGGGTTCTCGCAGAGGACCCGAGAGGTCCTTTCTTAGAGAGACCTCGAAGCCTGCGGATCCGCTTCCATGGGTCGCAGGCCCGTCTCGGAGGAAAGGGGGTTCCTCTCGGGGCGGGGGGGAGCTTTTCCCGGCGCCTGGGCCCTGCCTGCCGGTCTGCGCGGTCTCCTCACGCCACCGGGGAACTCCCGGGGCCGCGCCCCGGAGCGCCCCCCAGAAGCCCGCCGACCCCCGGCCCGCGACCGTGCGCCGCCGCCCGCCGCCAGCGACGTGACGTGCCCCGCAGCGTGACGCACACGGCGCGCAGGGCGGAGGCGCGGGCCGCGCGGCGGGAGGAGCGCGCGCCGGGGGCGGGGTGCGGGCGGAAGTCGGCGTCTGCGGAAAGGAGAAAGGAGAGGGAGACGCGGCTGGGCGCGGCGGCGAGGCTGGGAGCCCCGCAGGAGGGCGCCGCCTCCTCCCCCGCCCTCTGTGCCGAGGATGGAAGTGACGAAAGCAGCCGCGGAGGTCACTTCCTGCTGGGGTGGATGAGGAGGAGCCGGAGACGCCGCGGAGGAGACCGGACCGAAGACCGACCGTGCCGGGGAGAGGTGAGTCCCGACCTGGCCGCCGCCGCCGGACCCCTCCGGGCCGGCCCCCCGGGCCGCGGCGGGGATGGCATCCCTGGGCTCGGGGCCGACCCCCGGGCCACGCACCGCCGGCCGGCCTCACCCGGCGCGGGGGGCGGGGAAGGAGGGGGCTCGGAGTCGGAGGGGCGACGGGGACCTGGCGGCGTTCGAGCGGTGGCTCCGCGGAGCCCCGAGACCACGGATGTGGGAGGCCCAAGCGGGAGGCAAGTGGAAAGGAGGCCTTGGGTCTGCGGAAGCCGGACTGGGAGCTGAGCGGGGCTCCGCAGCGCCATACTCTGCACGCCTCGCTCCTCGGGGGATGTTCGAGGAAGGGCGAGCGCTCTGGTGGGGTTTGCGGAGTTGAGATGAGTGTCCCTACTTGGTAAAATGTCCTCGGAGTGAGTTTTGAAAGGCACGTAGAGGCGCCTCCAGGTACCAGGGAGGGGGAGCCTTACGGGGGAAATCGGGAGCCTGGGATGTCAGGAGACAGTTTTCTTGATCGTCATTGTTGCAGCGAGGTTTGGACCCCAGAGTCTTGGCGGTTGAAGGGCATTCGTGTGGCAGGATAAAGGCCCGACATCTCCAGGACAATCTAGGAGTTAGAGTCCAGAGCAGCTTCCTGCAGCGGCTGGGGAAATTAGTGTTTTTCCTCCCTCATTGTCACGGAGATGGGAGCAGTCTGGAGAGGAAGCTCCTGCCTCAGCTCTGGGGCCTTGTTATTGTGTATCTTGTGTATATGATTATGTGTCTGTGTTTGTTTTCTCCTTCCTTTGGGATATTTATCTCATCCTTATTCCCTGGTAGTTTTATAGACTAAAACTTGCTTCTTAATGTGTGTGGTGAGAAAAATACAAAGGATCCAAAGGAATCAGGTGAAATTTCCAAGATTAGGAATTTTCCCCACCCCACCCTAGAGCCTCTGAGGCATCTACATTCTCTCAAGACTCCTGCTAATGTGGGTGCTGAGGGCCTGTCACCCACCCTAGGGAGCTTGAAGGTAGATCTGACCTCTCCTGCCTGCATTTCCCTCTGGCGGTTTCTCCCTTCCCTCCTTTTTAACTAAAGGATTGACTGACACAAAGCTACTTGCTGCTAGGAACAGGAAATGTATTGAGGAATTTAAATCTGGATGGAATGAATTCAGATCGCAGCAAGAATCCCTGCACTTACTGGACAGAAGCCTCTCAGAAATGCCTGCTTTTCTTTCCCCCTTTCCTATTAAAAGGATAAAATATAAACTTTTTCCTCAGAAACTTTTGAGAGTATATATTTCTTGCATAGGATGACTGTACATATGATATGTGTTTACTTCCTGTATCCCAGGGTATTTTTCAAGAAGGAGGGAGCCGTTTCTAACTGGGAGGAGTTTTATTTCTCCCATCTCACATAATTCAGTAAAATAAATCAAAATCAGATGTTCATTTTTGAGTGGCAATGAGATGGATTTGGATTTTTTTTTTTTTTTTTTCACTCTTTAAACTGGTGCATCTGGGTGAACTCAGGCTTGTGTATCTTGGCATCCAGGCCTATCTAGTAATAGAAGACAAACTGTTTGACTTGTTTTGGCTGCCTTTTTGGACCTGTTTCACTGTACCCTTTTTTACATTTGAAGGACTGGTCAGGAGGAAGAAAGCAAATATTAAGATAGTGTTTACACTTTGTGGCTTAAAGTCAGGTGAGCGATAATTACGGCCTTTGAAGCTGATGACCTGAGGACCATCATTTGATGACTTGGGGATTAACAGTTTAGAGGTGACATGCTTGAAAGAAAGAGGGTTACATAAGGAGGTATAGATAGGGAAAAGGAAGTTTGGGGAAAGGCTGTGCCAGACACCTTGGGAGGATAATAAGTTAAATAGCACTTTAAAATAATTGATGTGGCTTGTGTCTCTCAGCAGGACGGTGAAAATGAAAGCAGGCTGTAGCATCGTGGAAAAGCCAGAGGGAGGTGGAGGTGAGCAGACATTAAATCAACTCTGATATACCTGGAATGTCCCTCGCTGGTTCCTTTTCTCTGCAGCTGGGCTCTGCCTACTCCACAGATGCCAGGCCACACCTGATACTTCTTAACGGGTAGATGGATACTGCTAGGATAGTTGAGGGCTTGTTTTCTGTGGATGTGTGTTTAACATGTCTGGTCACCGCTCCCTCATCCCAAGTGTTGTCTCTTTCCTGCTAGAGACACAGTTCCAGCTTTTCAGCCGTGTTTTCCTAAAACATTAGTCTATCTTTCCTGTTTTTTTCCTTTGGAACTTTCATGCCTTCATAGAAAGGAGACCTGAGATGTATAAAGGAGTAAGAGATTAGGATGTATAAAGGAGTAAGAGATTAGGAAATCTGGGTACTACTGCCCAACTCTCAGATTTAATGATTGTCAAAAGGAGAGGTAACTTCGCCATGCTTTCCTCTCCCTGCTCTGGTGAGCCCCAACCCTGACTGAAAGGGTGTTTGTGGCATGTTTGCATAGCACTAGAGATCCTGAGCACTGGAATGTGAAGTTGAGATACTGGTATGTATGTATCTAGCCCCTGACTATCTCAATCTTGCCCTTTTCACATTAAAGGGTATCAGTTTCCTGACTGGGCCTATAAAACAGAGTCCTCCCCCGGCTCCCGGCAGATCCAGCTGTGGCACTTCATCCTAGAGCTGCTGCAGAAGGAAGAGTTCCGCCATGTCATCGCCTGGCAGCAGGGAGAGTACGGGGAATTTGTCATCAAGGATCCAGATGAGGTGGCCCGCCTCTGGGGCCGCAGGAAGTGCAAACCACAGATGAATTATGACAAGTTAAGCCGGGCCCTCAGGTAAGGGAAAGAATTCCCAAATCCATGGTGTTAACAGATTAGCAGGAGACTAAGCAGTTTGGTGACTATTAGATAAAAAGGATATCAGGTGATAAGAGGCTACACTACCTAAGTGAATAATGTGTAACATTGATGTGGGAGTAGAAGAGCTGTTGAATCTGAGTAGCACAGGCACAGGAGGAGAAAAGGCATATCTTTGGTTATATGTAGGAGGGAATTCCAACGCGGTTGGCACTGGATCCTGACAGACAGCCGATTCTGCTCAGTAGTGGGCGGTAGTGTATGGTGAAACATGGATTGGAGCTCATTTATAATCCAGAGGATTAGTTTAGACTTCCCTGTTGGAAATCTTAGAATTTCTCTCTTTAGGCTCTCCTGGAAGAAACTAGGAAAAGTGAAGCAAGCACACAGGACAAGAGTTCACTGAATGGTACTCACCTAACTCTTTTGGGCTCAACTGTCAGTTCATAGGTTACTGCAACACATCTAAAGATTGATTGCTTTAAGTTTTCTCAGGTTCTCTTTTCCCCTTGTCAGTCTTTACATTTCATAACCCTTTATCCTTCAGAGGGCCAGAAGGCAGTTTATAACCTCTGTTACTGAATAGATACAAGGATAAAGGTTCTGGGTACATTGAAGTCCCCCTGCTTTTCTTCTTTCTTTGTGAAGGTAAAATCTGTGCCACAGTTTTGCTGAGTCTCTCAGCCCTCTTGAGAGTGAAGCAAACCAAGCTCGCTACTGTTTTCCAAATCAGGGTATACCATTGTTTGACCTGCCACCATAAAAACAGCTCTACATTCCTTTGTCTATGCCTTGAATTAAGGCCTCGACACTAATAACCTGACATGGTTACAAGTCTCCTCTCAGGAGACTTGTCTTTCCCCACCTGGTTAAGGCAGAAAAGAGAAACTGTGCAGTTAGTGGCATACAGTGAAACAGGAAGGAAATAGACTGTAGAACTGAAATTGTAGAAAGATGGAGAAGAGTGGCTGGGTCTGGGATAGGTGTTCATTATCTTAAAATGAGATTTTTTTAATAAAACTCTAGCCAAGGACCGGAAAATTGAATGGGAAAAGTACACGCTTAGGTTCCCAGCCCTAACCTGAGGGCAAGGCTGCAAAAGAATGATTGTGATGTTTGTAATACTTAGACCAAGAATTGTTCATCTTAGTGGTTACATAAGTGTATCAAAAACTGTCAGTATCTAGAAAGTAAATTGATAGGCATTTCTGTTTCTACAGATACTACTACAACAAGAGGATCCTTCATAAAACAAAAGGGAAAAGATTTACTTATAAATTTAACTTCAACAAGCTGGTGATGCCCAACTACCCATTCATCAACATTCGCTCAAGTGGTAAGATGCAAACTCAACTTGGGGAAGAATTTTGAAAAGGAAATTTGAAAAAGAATTTTAAAGACTCAAGTGTAAGACCTGGCATGTATAAGAGGGTTTTAGAAACCCTAATGTACCATGATCTTTTGTATTGCCTTGGTATTCTGGAAAGTTTTCCTGCTCGTCTCACACAGGGAGCAATAGGTTCTGCAGCATCAAGAGAGATTGTGTTTGGTTTGTTTGATTGGTTCTCTTTTCACAGATTATTGTGATCTCACTAGCCTCTTCAGGAGTCATGTTCCTTAGGTTTGTGTTGATTTTCAGTCTTTCAGGACTCTGTTTTTAACACCCTGCCCAGTGGCTCTGTCATAGACTGAGAACCTGTTTCTACAAACACTTCCGATTTTCTATGAAACTACCAAGCTGTCCCTTATCAAGTGAATATCATCAAAACCACAGCATCCTTGATCACAGAAGGGGAGGTTCATTTGTTAACAGTGAAAAGCAGTGTCTTTGATCTTCACTAACAACTTTGAGAACAAGGCTCTGGGGTTACTTGACCTTCTCTTAAGTGCAGCAGGGCTTCCCCTCTGGGTGCTCAGACTAACAGCTTTCCATCACAGCTCCTCACAGACATTCTATGTCTGTCTGAGGCAGAAGGCAGTCACTTACAAGGTTTAGTTTTTTGTTGTTTTGTTTTGGGGTTTGTTTTTCTTTCTTTGTGTGTGTGTGTGTGTGTGTGTGTATGTAAGATGCAAATCATCTCCCTCCCCAAGGAAATAGATTATATTGAACTAATTTCTGACCAGTCCCATCAATACACAATCTTTTGTAGCATTGTGTGTTAAGACAAAGAAATTTGTGATTCTGCAGCATTACAACTTCTCAGAGTAAAGTTGGAAGAACCTGAAAAATTAGAGCGGGGGTGTGGCTGAGAGAATGTAATGCTGAGATCCACTGCAGATGTGTAATTACTACACAACAAGTCAGGGCGGTTTTAGCCTACACTGCTATCGTTACTGTTCCATCTCTCCTTCTGAAGCCACTCCCTCCTATCCCTGGGGCATGCATTTAAAAAAAAAAAAAAGTGGTGTTGGAATGTATCTCTCTAATTACAGCCTGTTTTCTTTCCGTGTGCCTGAGGGAGAGAGGCATTAGGAAATCAAACCTGTTCTAGCCACTGGAATCCCATTTCCTCTATTTTTCACTCTTGCCCCCACCCTGTGCACCTAGAAAAATTGGGATTAGATGGGTACCCCCACAGTTTTGAAGAATGCGTTGGGGTTGCCTACCATTCCCCCACTCTTGTTCCCTTTTGACCTATTTGGTTTATTGAAACCCCAAACAACCAGCCACTTGGTAGTCAGGAATTGGGGCATCCATCAGCCCTAGAAATTGATATACTTTTCCAGGATGACAGAAATCTGGACCCTCACTTTGAAAACACTGGCCTGGAACAGTAGTGACCTAGCACAACATCTGCCTGAAGGCAGTTGAAACAACAGTGATCGTTAACTAAACTCCAGATCCTAATCAAGAAGTGATAGGAGAAGCAAAATAGCACTCACTTTTCTTTTAGGCATAATACTTAGTTGCTTATTATATCCTAGGTATCTTACACACAACTCAAAAAAGCTGGAGTCATTAATTCATAGAGAACACATTACCCAGATAGATTAGATGTTTCAGGTTTACTTTCTGGGTTATAAAGGACTGAAACTTATTGAATATCCACTTAATGGAGTTACTTTTGTTTAATGTTTTTGTGAATTGTCTCAGTTCTCCCAGTTCAATAAAGTGTATGTTTAAATATCCACATTTTATAAATAATAAAATTAAGGATAACAGCAAAGTCAAAGATTGGTCAGAGTGGATTGAATACAGTTATCTGTTGAGCAAGTTTCTCAAGAAGCAGTTCCTAAGAGACTGAGGTGCTGAAGTATAGGTCTTATTTCATACATTGTGCCTTTTTCCTCTGCATTGGTATTCATTCATTTGTTCAACAGATAATGTATTAAGCCCTGAAGACCAAAAAAGAAAAAAAGTGATGGGCGTGTTCTGTCTCTCTAGGAACTTAAATTTAGCAGGAGTGATAAGACATTTGAGGTTTATTACAATTCAGAATGCATTGTGGAACATAATAAACACTCTTAAGTAGTACTCTGTAGATTTAGATTCTGGAAGCCAGATAACTCATGTCTAAGATGGTGGGTTGATAGTTTAGCTATTTTGATGTGTGTGTCTTTAAAAATTGAGGTAATGCATGCTGGTTGTAATGTAGCCATAAAATACAAACGTTTATAAAGTAAAGCAAACATTCTCTTTTCCCTTCCCCACAAGCCTGAACAGTTCAGGGTAGATTATTTAAAATTTATGTAGTGTTGAAAGTACTAATACATGCAGAATCTCGTTTTTGTCATTAAAAGGACCCTATAAAATACATTGTTAAATGTATTTTAACATAGTGCTTGAATAAGAAACACTGGAAAGATAAGAATATACTAGTAAAAATGGTTACCTGTCAGGGTGGGGCCAAGAATAGGTTTGAAACCTCTCTATCCCTCCCGACACTGTTGCAATTTTTTTGTATTTATCCTTTGGAAAACTTCATATCGACAGAAAAATTAGAAAAAAGAGAACAGTGAACACCCGTATATTCTCTGTTTAGATTCAGTAATCATTAACGTTATTGTCATGTTTGCTTTATCTTTATATATATAATTGTAAATAAGATACAGACATGACGACATTTCACCCCGGTGCATGTCAGCCAGCATGTATGTCCCAGGTACAAGGACAGTCTCCATAACCACAGTAACATGACCACACCCAGGAAGTTTGACAGTACTCTAGTACAGTTATCTAACATATAGTCAATATTAACTGTTTCAGTTTTCATAACATGAATCCTGTCTTATCCATTTTACAAATAAGGAAATTGAGGCACAGAAAGGTGAATTATCCAGGGTCCCACAAATAAGAAGTGGAAGGCTGGGCCTCCCCTGCTGGCGCAGCGGTTGAGTGCTGGGCTGCGAGGCTGCCCACAGCCTCTGCAGCGCCGGTTCGTTCCCCGGCCACCGGCAAGAGCCCCACAAAAAAAAAAAAAAGTGGAAGGCCAACATATGAACATAGGAAAGGCCTTTTATTTCCATCTTACCAGAGGAGGGGGTCAAAGATTAACTGCTTACTTCACCAAACTATAAGGTGCCAAAACTAAGATTCAGACCCAAATCTTCTAGCCCTGGGTTTCTTGGTGACTCCATAAAGGTAGTCTTCTTCCCAAGCAGTATTATTCAGACTTATTTTAAGCAGAAACTTATTTTTTCAAACAAAATCTTTTTTTTTTTTTTTTTTTTTTAGATTTATTTATTTATTTATACAAGCACTGGGTACAGTCAGAAGCGCGGGAGGGTGAGAGAATTTACCAGAGCCAGAGCGGGGAGCAGAGCAGGCAGAAGGACCAAAGTACACTGCTGAGGGGAGCAGCAGGCGGCAGGAGAGGTCTGCGCGCCATGTGGGGCCCTCCTCCAGTGGCCAGGGAGCAGCCAGGGATCAAACCGGCGCTGCAGAGGCTGCGGGCAGCTTCGCAACCCAGCACTCAACCACTGCACCACCAGGGAGGCCCCTCAAACAAAATCTTGATATGCCATTTCAACATATTACATATAAATTGGGGCTGCTGCAGCTAATTAGAGTAGAGACTGCTGCCTGTTCACCAGTGCTCTTAGATTTGTCCTCCTTTGCTAGTCTAAATGCATTTGGAAAAATACTATCATATTTCCTTCTCATAGCTTTATAGTGTGTCTTTAGCATGTGTAAAGAATGAGATAACCTCCAGTTTAAAAAAGAAAAAAAAAAACTAAACAATTTAGGGGACTGGACCGTCTCTTCTCGCCCCACTCCACCTCCTTATACTTAGTCCTTGAGAACACATAGAAGTGGTTGTTTGCTTTTGAGCTTATATGCTCTTACTACAAAATCAAGATTCAAAAGAGGAAAACTTTAGCCTCTGTTAATAGGCCTGTAGAAGAAATAGTTTTGGCTTGGCACCCTCTTGACTGTACTCAAAATATATACAAAGTCATCCATCTGTTTTACCTAAATCAGTGGTTTTAAGGGGTAAGATGAGCAGGAGGAGAGCTAGGGAGGTGCTGCAGAACAGTTTTCTGTGGTCATCACTTCCAGGATTGCTGCTCTGGCACCACGTCACTCAGTCCTCTATGCCTGGAGAGCTGCAGTTCTGTCCACTCTGGACTTGATGTCTGAGAAAGTCTGGTGGGAGCGGTACCTACCCACACCAGATCTTTTGCACCTTTTGTGTTTCTTCTCCAAGATCTTCATACTTTCACTCACTAGGTTTTCTTGTTTTTTCCTTCTCCTTTCTCTCTTCTCAAGAGTATAAAGAGCCCTCTGACTTCATCAGTGATAGAAGCCACTCATACCTCCCAGAAGCCCAGAGCCTCTGAAGTCTCAGATGCAGACCTTTCTTATGTTCTATGTAACAGAGTATCTTTGGGGAGCTTTGAGAATTTGTGAACCCCTGAAGTTGACATGTTTAGTCCAGTGTTGGTTTCTGCTTAGAGCTTCAAATGTCAGCAAGTGAACTTGAGAGAGTGGTAGGTCCTGGGTTTTCTCCCAGCTTCCTCCATGCTTAAAAAGCATTGAAAGCATTGTTAGAAGATTATAGATGTAAAGAGATTGAAAAATATGTGTATAGAAAAATACTCTGAAGGGGCCTCCCTTCAGGTGCAAGGGATTAAGCACAGCACTATGAAGCTATCTGCAGCCTCTGCAGCACGAGTTCAATTCCTTGCCAGGGAGCTGAACACATGGCACAGCAGACCTCTCCTGTCTCGCCCGCTGCTCCCCCCAACAGTGTATTTCAGTACATCATTTGTTCTGCTTCCCACTGTCTCTGGTAAATCCTCTCACCCTCCCCACATCTCTGGCTTACACTCCAGCTCTTGCATGCTTAAATAAAGTAAATCTTTTAAAAAATAGAAAAGAAAAATACTCTGAAATAGTGATTATATTTTAGAAAATGACAAAAGCTATTACACATAAGAACTTGCCTTAATAGGGCCTCCCTGGTGGCACAGGGGTTAAAGTCTCAGCACTGTCAAACTATCACCAGCCACTGAAACATGAGTTCAATCCCCGGCTAGGGAGCTAATCCCACACTGCGCAGCAGACCTCTCCTGACTCACCCACGCGCCCCTCAGCAGTGTATTTCAGTTACTCTGCCTGTTCTGCTCCCCACTCTGTCTCTGGTGATCCTTTCACTCCCCCATACCTCTGGACTACACCCCAGCTCTTGTATGTATAATAAATAACTCTTTTTTTTTAAAAAAAAAAGGACTTGCCCTAACAAACATGGCTTTTTAAAAAAATCTTAAAATATGATCTTGGGCCTCCCCGGTGGCACAGCGGTTGAGCGCTGGGTTGCGAAGCTGCCCAAAACCTCTGCAGCGCCGGTTCATTCCCCGGCCGCCAATGAGGGTCCCACATGGCGCGTAGACCTCTCCTGCTGCCCGCTGCTTCTCTCAGTGGTGTACTTCGTCAATCTGCCTTTTGCTCTCCCCTCTGGCTCTGGTGAATTCTCTCACCCTCCCGTGCTTCTGACTGTACCCAGTGCTTATATAAATAAATAAATAAATCTTTAAAAAAAAATGTAGCCCTAAACTTGAAAAAAAAAAATACATGATCTTGTTCATTTCCATATATGTGAAGTACAGGGTCTTTGGGCTCTTAATGAAATTCATTACAAACATGTCATTTCCAGTTCTGTTTGCTTTGGGGGTTGCTTTGCTTTATAGATGTGGCCAAAATTATGAAAGAAAAGACTCTCTGCAAAGTTAAGAATTGAAATAGGCGATCTATCACAGAATTTAGAGTTGTAGAGGGAAAGACTCTTAGTGCCCCTTCACTCACTGAATTAATAATACTTACTGAACACTCACCAACTTTAAGCCCTGAACTAGAAACCTAGTTGTGAACAATTGGTACTCCCTGCCCTCTTGGAATTGATGTTTTAGAATTTTGATAAACAAGTAAACGGTATTTCAGATCGGAAGAAGTATTGTGGGGCCTCCCTGGTGGCGCACGGGGTTAAGACGCATCCTGTGAAGCCATCCACAGCCTCTGCAGCACAAGTTTGGTCCCCCGGCCAGCCAGGGAGCAACCCACATGGTGCAGCAGACCTTTCCTGACTCACCCACTGCTCCCCTCAGCAGTGTACTTGGTCAATCTGCCTGTTCTGTACCCCACTCTGTTTCTGGTGAATCTTCTCACCCCCCACATCACTGGCCTATACCCTAGCTCTTGTATGCATAAATAAAATAAATCTTTTTAAAAAAGAAGTATTGTGTTGGGCCTCCCCTGGTGGCGCAGTGGTTGAGCGCTGGGTTGGGAGGCTGCCTGCAGCCTCTGCAGCACCAGTTCGATCCCCAGCCACCGGCGAGGGTCCCACAAAAAAAAAAAAAAAAAAAAAAAAAAAAAAAAAAAAGAAGTATTGTGAAGACAAGGGGAGTGAGGGGCTAGAGAAAGACAGCACCTTCCTCAGGTAGAGGAAGCGGAACTGTAATTACAAAGACTCAGAGCTTTTGATTCCTCAACTATGGGAATGTTTGTTTCCTGTTGCTCCTAAATATCTTGTCCTCATTTACATAAAAGTGCTGCTAATGACTTGAGCAGACCTCTAAAGTGGCCTCTGTCTTTTTCTCCATCTCAGGTGTGGTTCCCCAGAGTGCGCCACCAGTGCCAACCGCCTCTTCCCGTTTCCATTTTCCACCTCTGGACACCCATTCTCCAACTGGTGATGTGCAGCCAGGCCGGTTCTCTGCTGCCTCCCTGACTGCTTCTGGCCAGGAGTCAAGTAATGGTGCTGACAGAAAAACGGAGCTTTCAGAGCTGGAGGAAGGCTCGGCCGCTGACTGGCGCCGCAATGTGGATCTCATGTCCTCCCGGAATGCTGTTGGTGGTGGAGGGATTGGCCATCAGAAGCGCAAACCTGACATAATGCTCCCTCTGTTCACTCGGCCAGGGATGTACCCTGACCCCCACAGTCCCTTTGCTGTCTCGCCAATCCCTGGCCGAGGAGGGGTCCTTAATGTCCCCATTTCACCAGCCCTCTCCCTGACTCCCACCATCTTCTCCTATAGCCCATCACCAGGCCTGAGCCCCTTCACCAGCAGCAGTTGCTTCTCTTTCAACCCTGAGGAAATGAAACACTACCTTCATTCTCAAGCCTGCTCTGTGTTCAACTACCATCTGAGTCCCCGGACATTTCCCCGGTATCCAGGGCTTATGGTCCCACCACTGCAGTGCCAAATGCACCCTGAGGAGTCGGCCCAGTTCTCTATCAAGTTGCAGCCCCCGCCAGTTGGACGGAAAAATCGAGAGAGGATAGAGAGCAGTGAGGAGTCTTCACCTGTCACTGTCCCCACCATGGCTCCTGGCCCCCCAAGAATTAAGGTGGAACCAGCCCCTGAAAAGGATCCCGAGAGTCTTGGGCAGTTGACACAAGAGAAGGAGGCACACTCCCAGGAAGAGGGCACTGTGCCGAGCAGGACCGTAGAAGAGGGAAAAGGCACCGTCTTTGCCCGCCCAGCTGCACCACCTGCCTGGTCCTCAGTGCCCACTAGCACCCCAAGTGAAGAACCTCTAGAGGTGACTGAAGACAATGAGGACAGACCTGGCAGAGAACCCAACGCACCTGAGAAGAAGGAAGATGCCCTGATGCCCCCCAAGCTTCGGTTGAAGCGGCGCTGGAATGACAACCCTGAAGCCCAAGAGCTGAGTAAGAATGGCAAGTTCCTCTGGAGCGGGCCCGGACCCCGGGGCCTGGCCACAGCAGCTGCGGATGCCTAGAACTGGAAGTGGATTGGGAGCTGTTTATACTATAATCAAATACATACATGTATTTATGTAGCAAGATTTCGGGCTGGGGGGTGGGGGGACGGGCATTATTAGACTGGTTTGATCATTCTAGGGGAATAGACTTGTATTTTTTATGTTTGGGGATGGGATGGGGTATCTTCAGTTGTACATTAGGTGGGATATGAACACACTTTTCCTGGTGAGTAGGACATGGAAAGGGTATTGAACTGCGAGGAGAAAGAGCCTCTGTTTCCTGAGGCTTATACTTTCTGACAAACTCCCAAAGGGCCAAAAGACTGTTTGGTCCCGTGATAGTTCAGGTTCCAGACTTCTTTCTTTTCTATTGTATTTATATATGGAAAGCCATTAATGAATTTATTTTGCTCTGAGAGATACACATGAAGGGGAAAAGACATGGTTGGGAGGTTGAACAGTGAAAGGCCATTAATAACTAAGTATTTTGTATGAAATGTTTATTATTATTTCAGGGGAGGAAAAAGATAATTTCAGTCTTACTGGGGGAGGGGGGAATGTCCAGATGTTGTTTTTTCCTTTGTTGTTTGGCATTTTTTCTTTTCCTTTAAAAAAAAAAGATGTTTTCAGGAAACATAAAGTGGACTGCCAGTCAGAGTGGGTCTGCCAGGGCGCGGGAGCTTCGCTTCACTGCGTGGTTGAGACAGGATTCCCTGCTCTGAATTTCTTGGACTTTTTACCTACTTCACTTATTCAGAAGCCATGAGGAGTTGTAAACTCTTGTTCAGGGAAGAAAGAAGAGGCAGGACAAAGTAACCCAATGCCTTTAAAAACAAAAAATGACCTTCATTCTTACCTTTCCATTGTGGGTTTGGGGAGCCAAACCAAAGTGTGACTGAGCAAGTTCACCGAGAGGCATGACAATATTGAAGATGTCTTTCCATTGTGTCTGGTTCTCTCTCGCCATTTTCTTAAGTCAAGCCTTAACAATGAACATACTGGTAACACGATACGGGTCTGTCAACATAAACCTGTAAAAGGGCACGGACAGCTTTTCAGATCATCCAGGAATGTGGAAACATGGTCAAATTTCACTTCGGCATCCATCGTTCCCTTTGAATGTTATGGGGATGGGTAGCAGAAAGGCAGGACTGTGGGAGTGAAGGGCAGATGATGCCTGGAAATACAGAAGGTAACTGGGGGTCCAAGCGGATGTTGGTTGAGACTGAAGAGAGAAGTGGGCAGAAGACACAGAAGACAGCCAGATGCCAAAGGCCTGGTGTGCCTGGAAGAGTTAGTGTGTGTCCTGTTGTGGTTTTGTCATTCTTGCCATTCCCATTTCCCTCGCTTCTTCAAATTCTCATAATTAGTTGACCCTCCTACTTGAGACTCCAGTTTACTGACAGTGAGGAATTGTCTCTTTGTGGGGAATTTCCTTCCACCAGTTTCAAAGGAAGGAGAAAGTGTTGATCTTAAATGAAGCAAGAGGGACCTGGACTAGGAGCAGAGAGAAAGAAGCCACAGCCAGCTCTGTGGGGGAGGAGGGTACAAGTATAACTGTAGTGTACAGAAATTACTGTGGCTCAGATCCACCTAGCAGCAGGGCAGCAGGGAGAAAAGAATTAACTTTATACCTGATCAGGGCAAGGAGTTGGGCACATGGATGTGCTCTGGGGATTGGAGAAAATTCTGGCTCTACCTTAGCCCAAATGAAATCTATATACTAAGAAGCATTTGAGGGTTGTGTCTAATGGTGGGGGTGGGCTGGTATTTCTTTTTTAAACTGGAGTACATGCATGAGAAAGGGTCTCAGGAAAGCTCAGAGCAGGTGAGTGAGTTACTACATGGTCTGGGGTGATGAGTTCGCCGTGCTGTTTTTTGGCAAGTGTGTTCCCCTTGTTTGATTCAGATCCCATGAGTGATTTGTCTTTCCCTGGGAAAGGGATTGGGAGAGTGGTCCCTCGCAACTCAGGCTTTGGTCCAGCTGCCTTTGGTTGGTTGTGTGTTTGTCACTTTCTCTGCACCTTGACTTACCTCTAATGAGAACGCAAGCCCAGGCAGGTGGTGGAGGGATCCCTGCTTGGCATTGCCCAATCTAACCAGGGAGGCTGGCTAGCCACCCTCTGTCCACTGGAGGTGGGCGCCAGTAGGTGTCGGTATGATCTCAGGAATAGAAACACGAGGCCTTTTAAGTAAAAGGGAGAAAAATCCATGATGCATACCTGTAAACTCCTAGAACCCAAGTGCCAGAATTCCTAGATGCTGCTTCTGTTTGAGCAAAAAGTCACTGCTTTTACACTTGAAAAAACACTCGAAAAAATGTTCAGCTCCATGAAAAATGTTTTTTCTCTTTAAGAGATTGGTGTTTAGTCATTTCCCTTGATTGCCATCCCACCAGTAAATTTTCACTGCTCACTGGGCTTGAGGGGAGGATCCTTACACAGAGCCGAACTTGGACTTAACTCAGGAAGTGAATCTGGAGCTATAGAGGTCTTTGATATTTCCTGGAGTGCAGGGGTTGAAGGTAATTTCTTCACCCCATCCCAATGCTGGAGTTATATAAATTGTGATGCAGGGATTTGTGGGTCAGAGCCAGGCCTTCTCTTCCATGAGCATCTGATCATTGTCCAGCAGGTTGAAGGGGTTTGGGGGCAAAACCGGCCCTTTTTCTCCCCCAGTTTTCCAAATTTTGCTGTGCCAAATGTTTAAAACTTTGCAAATACTAATCTTGAAATTTCTTTAATCAAGAACTTGTTCGTGCAGTTTGTTTTTTAGACTTTAAAAAGTAGTTGAGACCTCTTGGGGGCATCCAGCCTTGCTGAGCTCACTCTTTTTTTTAATAATGCCTAGGAGTGGAATAAAAACATTTCACCAAATCCCTTCAGCCCCTGTTTTCAAGCTGCACTGCATTAGCCCAACTTGTCAACTAATACAGAGAATTACTGCTCCCTGGTCCTACTTGGGCCAAGACACTCTTTGAAGCATTAAAAAATAAAGTATCACTTCTTATCAAGCGGGTAAGGTCAGTTGGCTGTTTGTCCCTTGTTTTTTATTTATTCCATAATTATGTTTGTGCTTTTTGTTTGGTAAGCAGTAACACCATACATTTTAAATTTGTTTAAAAGAAAAAGAACTTTGATCCAAACTTTTTAAGAACTGTTCCATTTCTAGTAGTTGTGGGGTGGGGGCAGGGAAGAGAAGTTATCAGTTAATTTGTTTTGAAATATTTAGGCATTTGAGTTATGAATTGTGATGCAGGGATCTGTGAGTGAGACATTCACATGTGAAAGATGACTTCGCTAGTTATCCGCTTAAGCAGAATAAAGTGTGTATATGTACATAAAATGTAAGTAATCTGAACTCCATTGTGCAGTGCCTTTTAGATGTTCCGCTTTCTATAAAGTCTTCAAATTTTTGCATATATATTATATATATATGATGTAATGTTATAGAAATATATGTATAATATACATATTTTTTCCAGGGGTATCTGATAGCTCTGTATTTTGTTATGGAAGTTGAAAGAAAAAAGTATTTTACCTCAGAAATTAAAGTTAAATAAAAAAATACTTTTAAGTAACATTCACTAAGTGTTGGTTCTGTGGTTGACACGCTGAGCCAGAGTGGTTATGCCAGAGAACTTGCCAAACCCTACTACTCGCACCAATCCCACTCTTTACCCATGTTGCAAGGTATCAACTGAAGAGGTGGGGGGCATCTCTCTTAACACTTGGGAAGCTTGTTGGTGTCCTTGGGTCAGTGACTACTTCTAGGTAAAGGACAACTGGAACCAGGGACACAAGTGGGGAAATGTCTGCCTCAGTTGTTTTGGGATTCTTGAGAGTACATGGCAAAGGCAGACACAGTAGGCCAGCACTTAGAATTTCATTTTATATGAAATGTCCAGAGTGCAAATCCACAGAGAACAGATAAGTGGAGGTTGTGGAATGTGAGTGCTAATGGTCTTGTGGTGGGTGGGGGGCGGGGTCAATGAAAATGTCCTTTGATTGGTGGTAGTTGTACAATAAATACAATAAAAACCACTGAATCACAATCACTAATGTGAACATCTCAAAAGGTGGTTTTGTGGGTGTTTTGTTTTTAAGTATTGGTGAGCCAGTACTAAGGAAACCTCGTATTTCCAAGAAAAGGGCAAGAGCCCAGTGACGGTAGGACACATCTGTGGAGATGTTGAGTATCAGGGACTGCACCCGAAGGAAAATGGTGCCAGGTGGAGTCATCTCATTTTACCCTTGGGAGATAGACCAAGTGACCTAAAGTTCCCAACATTTGCAGAATCATAGCCAGGTGTTAAATTTGACTTTGTATTTAGTCATGAGTTCCAAAAGGCTGAAACTGAGAAGCTGGGGCAAACTAGGATGGAGTATGAAGGGTCTTGAGAATGCCTGAATGGTTTACCTTTTGTTCGGCTAGCAGTGACCACCCCCAATATGTTATAAGAGAATCTGGGCTAGGCTACTGAGGAGCATGAAGGCCATAGCCCTGAAAAACTAGCCTGTGCAGTTAATTGCTCAAGATGAGCATTAATTCTTTTAGGTAGGAACAAGTAAAAGTGACAGAGGCTAAGTGGTTGCTCCCTGAAACTACCTAAGTCAAGCTGGGGATGAGCTGAGACACAGACCTTCCCACCAGAGAGCCTCCTGCTTTTTTCCCTTCCTCAGTGCTGCTTCTGAAAGAAAAGGAGACAGCTAGAAAGGATACAGTTTTGAGAGCAGACCCGAAGGTGCCTGGCTCTGTCATCCTGTTAACCATTTAATGCATAAGATTAGATGGCAATAATTCACATTCTGAACAAAGAGGAATGGTGGGGGTGGGGTGGGAGTAAGGAAAGTGATGGGCCCCCAGGGTGAAAAGGGGGGCAGGGAAAGAGGGACAGAGGATGAAGAGAAAGGGTCACAGCTCTTCAAGGGAGTGAATGGGGCATAAAGCACTCAGTGGCTCCGCACTATCTCCCTGTTACAGTCCTTAGTTTAGCTTAGGAGGCCCTTCATAATCTGGTCCTTATTTACCCTTCTAACTTCATCCTTTTTTCCCCTTTTTTTCCTTAACCACACACGGGAGCCTGCATACTCTTCCACCTCCACAAAGCCTAAACTGCAGCCAGAACAGTTAGTGCAGAGATGTCACCAGGTGCCAGGCATAGTTACAGGCTATGGCCAATCCCTAAATTCTCATGAGACCTTCTGAGGTCAGTGCCCATTTTATTGAGGAGAACACTGAGTCACAGAGATGTTAACTTGTATGACTAGGGCTCAGGCCCCAATACCTGTGTTCTTAGCCTCTTTGCCAGCTCACTCAGTCATGCTGGACCCCAGGTCTGGTGGGCCTCACAGCCCAGAACATCCTTTACCTGGTCACTTATACCATATGCTTCAGAATTCAACTCAGATGTCTTTGCCTCCAGGGGCCTTTCCTGGGCTCTGCTTTGTGCTCTGTTGCAGCCCACCTTTCCCTCTGAACAACCCTTCCACAGGTCGCACTGCTCTGCTGGCCTGGCTCCTCAGGATGTCCTGAAGCCAAGGGCTGGCACTGAGTTCGATTCATCTTTCCCCAGGCCCTAGCACATTGCCTGGAGCTTGAGGATGCTTGATAAGTGTTTGTTGGATAAACGAATAAGAAGTCTAAAAAGGAGCTCGACTGGCCAGCAGATACAAGTTTGGAATGAGGACAGTCAAAGGGCTAGGACAGGGCCTCCCTGGTGGCTTAGGTGTGGAGTCTCAGTGCTATCACCTCAACAGCCTACCCAGGGAGCTAACGCACACTGTGCAGGAGACCTCTCCTGCCTCGCCCACTGCTCCCCTCAGCAGTGTATTTCAGTAGATCTTTCTTTTTTTTTTTTTTTAATAGAAGCATGTTTATTTATTTGTTTGTTTGTTTTTGTTTTTGTTTTTTGTTTATACATGCACTGGGTACAGTCAGAAGCGCGGGAGGGTGAGAGAATTCACCAGAGCCAGAGCGGGGAGCAGAGCAGGCAGAAGGACCGAAGTACACTGCTGAGGGGAGCAACGGGCGGCAGGAGAGGTCTGCGCGTCATGTGGGCCCTCCTCTGGTGGCCGGGGAGCAGCCAGGGATCGAACCGGCGCCACAGAGGTCGCCGGCAGCTTCGCAACCCAGCGCTCAACCGCTGAGCCACCGGGGAGGCCCACAGTAGATCTTTCTTAAAGATTGTATTTTTGCATAGAAGAGCTGGGCTGCCGGCCAGAGGTGCGGGGGCTGAGAGGATTCACCAGAGACAGAGTGGGGAACAAAACAGGCAGAATGACTGAAATATACTGCTGAGGGGAGTAGAGGGGGAGACAGGAGAGGTCTGCTGCGCCAGGTGGGTAGCTCCCTGGCTGGTATCTAACTCGTGGTGTAGTGGCTGCAGATAGCTTCCTAGTGCTGAAATTTAACCCCTTGCACCACCAGGGAGGTCCCAAAAATAAAATCTTTATTAAAAAAAAAAAAAAAGGGACAGGGCAGGGCAGCACTCCAGTGGACACAGGCCCAGAGAAGGGCTGCTGCTGAGGGGGTGGGGCCTGCGGCCCCTCTTCCAACACTGCCTCTCCCCTTCTCCAGGACACCATCCCAAAATGAGCTCTCCGGTGGCATGTTCAGATTCCTGCCCTTCTCTCTGCAACTGGACATCCTCCCTCCTGCCTTCAAACCTGCCTCCTCTCAGGGGACACATGGGACATATTTGCTTGGTAATTTTCTACTCCGAGGAGCCAGACACATTAGTTCTAGCTTTACTCACCCATCCCTGGTTGGTCCTACCAGAAACAAACAAACAAAAAAAAGGTGGGAATAAGGCAGCTGAAAACCCCCAAGAAGGCCTGCTGTCCCTGACATCCCCATCATGGTGCCCATTCTCTATGGAACTTTGCACCTTCACATCACTCTTCTATGGGTCCCTCTCAAGTGGAGACTCTCTCCCCTATTTAACAGATGAGAAAAGCAAGGATCAGAGGGGATAACCAGCCTAGTGGTTCAAGCGACTGCTTTTCCCACTCATCCATTGCCTCGGATCTCTGAGGCAAGGGTGAAGGCACTTCTTTCCCCCACCCCCTAAGAAACAGACACAGAACTGGGGGCAGTGGTGGTGATCCAACCTTAGTATTTCTCTGGGTGTTAGACCTTGTGTCCCAGTCTGGAGTGTGCACAGGGGGCTAGCCCCTGCAGCAGGCCGGGGGAGGGGGCACTTACCTCTGGTCCAACAGACTCTTGGAGTAGGGGACTGACCAAGGCTGGATGAATATCAAAAATAAAAGCCTTCCGGGACACAAATGAGCCCAGTCCTAACTCACAGAGCAGTTGGCAGTTTGAAGCAGGAGAAACCCATGGTCTCCAACCCCTTGTCTCCAGAATCTGGGGGTCTGGTCTAACCAGACAGTGGAGAGGGTACAGCCCATGCAATGGGCTGATTCAGAAATGAGAGCCTGGGGCCAAGAAGCAGCGGTAGTCCTCTCCCCAGGCACTGCTCCTGTCTCAGTGGTCAGCGCTGGCTCCACGCTAACTCTAACCTGAAGACTGGTCTAGATCAAAGTCTTCAACCTTGGTCCAGGTTAAGGGCCATGGGGAAGCAGTCTCTGGCCTCTCCTCCGGAGTCCTGCAGGGACCTCACCAGGGGGGGGAGGTAAGGAGGGAAAAGAGGAAGCAACCCTCTCTCCAGGTCAGTCTTGAGACCACGGTGCTGATTACAGAGTGTCATTAAGACTTCCTTCTGTTTTCTCCCCAGATTCTTCAAAAAGCAACATAAGCAGGCACGAGAGTGGGGAACCAGCCATAATCTGGGTTTTTGATATTTAAGGGTTTCTTTGTATGGCTTTTGCCCTCTTGGCAACTAACTGGAAGAAAGAAAAGGGGAAATTGTGGTATGTGGCAGTGGTCTAGCTTCAGAAAATCTGTCTTCGAAATGTCACAGGTAAAGGAAGTTATTTTTATTCTCCTGTTCCTGGCCCTGCTGGGAAAAAAAAGTTTATCTGGTTTATCTGCACATATTGAAATTTTGGTCTTCTGCGGAATGGACAAGCCCTCCTACCTCCATGTTGAAAATAACATTTATACCCTCTTGTCACTTAACTTGCCTTGAGCCACAAAATTACTTACTTGATCCACAAAATTGCCCTCTGTGGAAGGGGCCGTTATTATCCTCATTCTGAGGATGAAGTGAAGTGAATCATCCAAGGTCAACATAATTGGAAGAACCAGGACTCACCCAGAGAGTCTCACTTCGGGCCATTGGGACAGTCACTCACAAAACACACACACACACACACACACACACACACACACGGCTGTGCCAAGACACTGGGGAGGTCCCTGCTGTCTGGGGACTCATAGTTACAGTGGAGGAAACAAGAAACATGATGAACTGAAATATAAGGCCCACAGCGAGGTGACAAGTCACTCATTTATGTGTCTGACATTTCCTGAGTGCCTGTTGCAGTGCCTGGCTCTGTTCTGGCATTTCAGTCACAGTCCGTGTCAGCCAGTGTGGGTAGGGGTGGGGGCCCTGCTCCAGTGCCTTCCCCACAAAGACACACCCTTTCCTTTACCCCCACCCAGGACGCTGTAACTTTCCTGGGCGCCACAGATGGCTCAGTCCTGTGTTTGGGCAGGCAGGAATCTAGGTGTTCCCACGATACTGGGGGATTCCCACTCTCCCTCAGCCCTTGCTGAAAAATAACAGCATCCCAAGACCCCCTTCTAAACAAGTCTGTTTCCTGATGCACAAGTACCCTGA